AGTAGTGGTCGACTGTGAAAATGCCTCGATGTTGAAATGTGTATAGTCATGAAAGCTGAAGGTAGTGATATTCTTCTCTACGTTCCTATAATATACACAAGGTTGGTGCAGATTGCATTGCATGCTGATATTTCACTCCATACATAATAGCACAGAACCGAATCGCTGAGTGCAAACTGAAGAAGTACACCACGTGTAGTACAATTGGCAGTACGTATTTTCTTTCCCTGTTGGATAAGACTAAGCAGAGGCAATCAGTTGGGTCTTTAATGTTTGAACGTTGTGCGAATTAATTACCTTGGCTATTCCAGGGTATGCGATTTCACAGGTCGGCGATTTTTCTGCTTATGTCGGTCTGAAGGGATATACTGCGCAAATAATGCATTCTTTTTCATAAAGTAGCATTGCACAATGCTCAGAGAATTTTCGACCATTTTTTTAAATCAAAGTAATCTCTGTATAGAAATGCATACATCAACAGAAAATCAATAAATCAATAAGTTCCTGCAAGCGCTCAATCAACCTTTGTGTTTGCTGGTTCAAATCACCTGAATTCGGGTTTCAGCGATTCCTGGGGACCTCAAAGAATCATGCCTGAACATTTCCTTATCCCGCTTGATGTGTCGCACTCAGTCCCTGCTCGTGGTATTCTAGGTGCATGGTCTGCAAGTGGAAAATCATAGATCGTAAAACAGGGGTAGATTTGCGCTCCTGGAAAGTATTTTGGACGGATCTTGGAATCCTTTTAGTCGCCCAAGGGTAAATGATGAATAAACCTTACCTCTTGTTGTCTAATATAATTGTCTATTGCACTGTGTGCTCTGTGTGCTTTGCCAGAAGCAAACTATCTTTCATAACAAACTGGTTCTTCCATTTGTTTTGGATACATTTTATTCACATTCGATGTTAACAAACCTCACACGAAGGATACGTTTACTCCTAACTGCTTTTGCTTATAGATCCCGGGTGTTTTACTTTGCCATGTTTCACGTATTGTGTGTATTTTAAAATTCGTGAATATCCATTTCATCATTTAACACGATATACATGTATTAACTGGAGTGTGTGAGGATATTATGAATACGATCTAATTCAATTGAGCAAAGTAAATTTCAATAGTGCGAAATGTTATGATTTTCTTCCTTGTAAGTGCTTGTTGTTATTCGCTGCGCTGGATTAATGTACTTCGTTTCAGATTACTGTGCATTCATCAACTGTCTGCAGTATTATATTTCGTAATTGGAATTTATAATCTACTTTGCATCTGGCTGTACTCAATAATTGAACATTTCAATTCCTTTAATTTATTTTATCATTGTAAAACTAATCCCGGAAAATGGAACAAGTCTGCTGATAAGCCAAATGCTTCTGGTTCGTTGGAAATGGTGATTATGCATCACATTTTGCAACAACTAACTGTGAGCACACAAATCATGTCAAATCTCTCAGTCACAGACAATGCAAATTCCACGGTTTGGTCTCGAATCTACTTCCCGGCCTGATCTGTTCTTTTCCATTGTGGTACTACCTTTCTACCCAATTTCAAGCAAGTGGTAATCAAAATATATTAAAAATGTTAGGTCTCAATTAGTTTTTGCGTATTGATATCACGTTTTTCCTTTCTTTCATTGAATTGTAGTGTTCATAACCAGCAATAATGATCATTGTGTACTATCACGTAATCCATTGCTGATAGAATCCTAAAAATATTCTATTTAAAGTATATAAAATATTCAAAATCGCGCATATATCAGAACACGTAACCATCAGTATCAACAGGTGACACTTTGAATAGGATGATACTTTTTAACCAACCACCTCCTACTTCATATAGAACCATCCATCAGTGAATGAAAGATTTCGCACCCTGCTTATCGAGAATAATATTCACATGAACGTTATCGTATATTTCTAGTCAATATGTGGTTCCCCAAACAGAGAGATTGTGTGCAATAAGTTTCATTATTCAACTCAATTTCTGGGTCCTATAATATTGCTGCAAGTACTGTCATAAATAAAAGAAAAGAATCCACTCCGAAGTATTTACCTGGGATCTAAAATTAAGTATTCATGGCCTTTGGTGATAAGTGGCGTCATTGAGAACCAAAATTCTCAAGAAGAGATGAAAACCAGAACCGCGGTGATTACTTCATCAAATGAAGGAGGGCACAATCGCTCCCCGATTCAAAGAACCGTGTTGGATTGAGTGACTTATGTACATTACTAAACGGTCCAGTACATCCAGCTGAAAGATATTCCTATCTGCCAGGCTACTGACCATCATTAGACAGTTCGTCTCTCAGTCCACTTTTTCGAAGAAATGAACGCTGATCTGCACACTGGATTTGCTTCACTGTAAACAGTTCCTACATATCGAGCAATTCTATTCGTAATGTTCTGTCTGTAAACTGATGACTAACTGCTGCAACCCCCTGTATTTATGCAGCATAACCAAACGGAATAATGGTCGCAAACCAGTTATTGATTTTGTCTTAGTTTACATTACCATGATTTTCCGTTTGCATATAGTTGAGTTCATCACAAACAGACGTTCCGTGTCTGACAATTTTGCCTATTTTCATTCCAACGTTTGTTTTCCTGATAAATAAACAATGGATAAGTCTGGTCATAGAACATGTCTTAGTATCTTTCATAGCAAAGTTGTCGGCTATTCACTTATTAAAAACAACACACTGAATAAGCAACTATAACCAATGCGTTCACCGTACACCTGTCACCGTAAGCCGCACGAGAAATAAATTCCAAGTGGTTCAAATTCAATCACTTAAATCGGTTACAGTGTCTAACGTTGTTCACCATTCTGCTCGCGTGAATTGGATGTACCGCAATAACCATGCATATACACTCTGATGTTTAATCCTGGGCTCATTCAATAAATAAGAAAAATTCCTATTCAGCTTAGCAAAACATGCAAACGTCCCACTACGGTTGAAAAACGTGCAATTTATTTGACTCGTGTGAAACACAGTGGCATAATTCAAGCATACCGAACAAGATGTAATAAACCCACAGAATGTGCATGTAAGGTGTTGGGTTTCATTGTATTGTATCTAAAGGCGTTAGTTTCAAGTTTGGCTCCAATGTAGTTGCAATTAGTGTTTGACGATAGGAAGGCTTTTCGAATGTAGTCGGCTTCTCAGAATCAACGTGGTTTAACCGATATATCGTTGGTTCGCTTTTCTCAGGCGAATTTGTCTCATCGAAACATTAATTGTTGGAATGCTTTTCAAAATGACCCAATTTACATCTGCCGCTGACAAATGTCTTACGTATAGAGCCTCGATGCTATTTTGACAAAAGTTTAATTTACCTGAAATTAAGGGCGAATCAGCTGATGTTATAAGTTCGTTCGGTGGGTATAGTTTTGGTGCAAGCGATACCAGTTTCCTGGGAGATACGATTATACATCTGGTTTTAAACACTAGCTCTAGCAGTGAAATGACGAAGACGTTGCCCCGCCTATTTTGATTAGTGAATTTTCGGCTTATTGTGATTAACTTGCAAATGAAAATCTCTGAGAGAACTCTTGAGTGACATATATTATTTTGTAGCTGCATGCAGTTCCGAAATCCTATCCGCTTTCAATGTTATTTTAATGTGATGTATCTAATAAATGACCGTGCATTGTAAAAACGTTTACAATTTTAATCTATGGCTATGGTTATAGATGCATGTACTGAATACAAAATCCTAACTTCTTTGTTTCTTCATTGTGAATCACTGCGTATGTTTTCATATACTTGAATAGTTTTCTGTGTGACCTATTGTATGTATTTCATATGCGATACTGTTCTTTCATATTCTTCTATGGTCCGTTTTATAAAGCGGTGATACTGGCGAGCAGATATCTTGAAACCATGCGCTTCAGCTGCAGTGGTCGAACCGCTCCAAGCGTACGAAAGCACTTGTTGCTTTTGTCCCAATTATAGAATAAGAGTTCATTAAAAACTTTACCTACTTACATATGCCAGATCCAAACGAATGTAGATAAGCGTATGCTCATCCATAGCTCCGGTTTTGAGCAACTACGTGTATGCAACTTGATCTGTCAGTGTTTTTTATCTCATAAAGTAATTGCACGATGATTTTATGAAACCTCGGAATCAATGTTTAGCGTCTTGCACGTTGTTCATCCACGTTTCACCGTTTTGATGTGTTAATTTTGTGGAGCGTCTAAATAAAACACAGATAGGTGTCAAGTGCCTAATACCATGATTTGGATATTCATTTGCAAGAAAGAACAGACTGTTATAGAACATCGTCCCAGTTCAGTGTGAGTAAATGATTATCAGCGCAATTGCGAAACCATTCAATGCGACACGAGGTATCTTGCCTTGTAAAACAATAATCAGCAGAGGATCATGATATATTTAAATCAGTTGTCGTACTCCGTGTAATAAAAACCGGAATAAAGTAAAATTGAAGATTGATTCACAGATTATTATTGAGAATTTTTTGATTAAATTTGGACCATTTCTGAAAGAAAGAGATGATAGAAATCGACATGGAATAAAATGTATCGGTTTCCATTTGGATAGCACGTGTTGACTGCTTTATTTGATCAAAGTTAAATTACAGAATTGTTGTTACGGTGATTTGACTTGGCAAGCCGGAAGAAAACGGCAGAGATTAAAAAGAAGAACGTAGATGCAACTTTCGCTAAAAATCTCACATAATTGAGCAAATTTGCTAACATCTACTCACCACAGGTTGCTTTGGATAAGGTAGAGTATTGATCCGATACATACTAAGGCAGAGAATGCGTGCTGACTGAGGCCATCTGTTTTTGTATTTTTTGTTGGCAAAGCAAAAGAGGATTGAAACGAACCGTGAATAAACCGGAAATGAAGTATTTGTTTGAATTTGCTAATTCAGATTGACAAACAATGAATGAATGCGTCATATATTTATAAAAGAAACATATTGGTGCAATCAACTATCACGTATGTAGGATCTTACGCGATTTGTAGTATACGGTGATGGTTTGTGCAGCGTCCCTTCTAGTGCGCTGCACTCCTCCAGCAGCAGGTTTTGTCGTTGAAGATGTCGTGGTTGACGATGCTGTGGTTGACGATGCTGTGGTTGACGATGCTGTGGTTGACGATGTTGTGCTTGAGTCCGTAGTTGATGACGCCGCGGTGGTTGACTCTCCAGTCGTAGACGACACTGCACTCACCTGAATTGCTTCCGGTGACGAGAAGGAATTCCCGGAGTCCGTCGCACATATTGTTTTGGAATCTGACCCACTGGCAACTTGAACACACTTATTCTCACCACCCTAGTGAGTTAACAAACAAAAATACATTTCAGATCAGTTAAAATAAATCGAATAATTTGAAGCCTGCTCACATGGCTTACATTCAACATTGTGAACTCACCGATTCCGGTTTCAGGTAGACGTCCACATTCTTATCGTTGGTGGGTTTAACAAGTGCTTGACAGCCTTCTTTTCCCATTTCCACAAGGAACGTTTGCTCTTCCGTATGAGCAGTGTAGTTTGCAGTGCACTCTGTGGATTGACCAACTGAAGCCAATGGAGTTTCAGAAAGTAAGGATTTCATCGCTTACCAACCGATCCGCAAATGCAGACGATAAGGATTAAAACACTTCGAGTGATTGAATTCATTTTACCGGTTGACTGATTCATCTTAGCACATTGTCCCTTTTATACTCTCGTTTTTCGTAAGAAACGTTTTTATCAATCCAGTCGCAATATTTCAATCATTGATGTCACGTGATGTCCTCAAGTGTGCACGACTGAATTGGATGTACCTTCAGGATATTTCCCTCTATCAATGAAGCGTGTAGGCGTCAGAACACGTACAATGGTTGTCAACCTGAATTGTCGAGAGTTATCACCGCTATGTGACTTCAAGCTATTCTTAGCTGATTTTCTACTGACCCATTGGTAAAAAACAAGAAGTCGTTAGGCAGTTATTTTTGGTAAATAAAAATTAAATTTGCCGACTTAATTGTTGTGCACTTCACAGCCAGTGTTATATTTTAAAACATTGTGAAGATAAAATATATTTTAAACAATAGCACGTGCTATAATCTCATTGTTTATCATTGTGGGAACATTAGCCAAAAAAGGTGCTGTCACCTTGCTGATGTAACAGCATTGAGGATGACTGGTGATGTATCTCAGATTTACCAGACGTTCTAAATGCATTTGAAGCATGTGACCCACCCCACATCTGACAATTCTCACCTGAAGCAATTGTTTAGAATGTAGTTTTGGTTGCATGCAGACTCTGCCACTAACCAGTGACGTAATACGATTTGGAACCAATCTTCCTTCAAGAGCTTAATTAAACGCAGCCTATATGCAATCGGTTTCACTACGTACTCTTCTAACCTGCTTTTGGTTGATATACTGCTTTGATAGAACATTCCATAATTTGCTTTCCGTTCCTGGTCGAAAAGTTCGTATGTGTGTATGTATACTGCTCACTCAATTCTCACTGAATTCAGGAACTTCATCAGGACCCATAGCGCGAATAGGCGCCATGTGTTCATTTTCTGCAAAGATGCACTGACTGCGTACTTGGAGATTGATCAATATACATTGCGTTGGCGAGACTCACAGAGCATTTCGTAATAGAACAACAGATAACTTCGTGGATAATGCTCTGGTTTGTTTGAGAGCTATGTGCGTGACGCAAACACAAATAAATCGGTGTGCAGTGCACAATTTACCAGCGTTGTCACAGTGGGAACTAGTGCTAAACACCAGGTTGATCACAAGGAGTTACGTTGAATCATATGGGGTGTGTAGGCCGCTGGAGTCAGGTGATACGGACTGAAAGTAATGTTGTGTGGACTGTACTTTATTGGCACGGCTTTGAAATTGTCTGATCGTGAAGCGTGTGATTCAACACAATGCTCAATGCACAACCCTTCGTTACTTTGATGTAATTCAAACTTATTTTGAAGAGAGTTCGTCTCCATGCAAGCAACTAATTTAAATGATTTCAACACAATTTGTTCGAAACTTGATTAGGCTGTACCACAGGTTATTTCATTGGAAATGAATTTTCCATTTACCACACGTTTTCATCAACAGTGACAGAAAAAAGCTATAGCTGAATTCAAATACTCGAATGCTGAACGATAAACAGCGTGAATACACGAGAATTGGTGTGTGGACCGAAGAGACCGGTTTCATTGTAAGATAAAATCGGGCCTTGGATTTACCGGGTTAAATATAATCGTGCGTGCTATCTGAAACCACCGGGTAACGGTTTTGGAGAAATTGCTTCATACTAGACCGTTATAAAGGAACAATGAATTATTTCTGTAAAATCCATTGACCATACACGTTTAGTGTTGCGTTAATATCTTATCGCATGGAAGCAATGAAACGATTAATGTTAGGGTATAATATTTACTTTCAATAATACTGAAACCATTGTTCAACGAAACAAATTATTATAAATATTATAATAAATGGCAAAGGAATGGTTCATTAGAAATTGCTTTGAAGATTTGTTGGCGGTTGTTAGAATATGTTATTTGTTTGTTTCGAAGGAACTAGGGGTTTACTTGAGGAAGTAGAAGACTCGCAATGTGGATAATGCTGACATACCCCTGGTAACCGTACAACCAAACCCAATCTATTTCTGGATAATGATCTTTTTGACAAAAGTGTAGTCCCAACGTTCCATCCCACAAGTCATGTACAGCCTAACATCATCCATTGTTTTATCCGGGCCACACAAATTGCTTTTCTGAAACAAATAACACAATACTGTAAACTAACATGATATCAATTCACGTTTCCGCTTAATTGGTTACCAGGGCAACACCCGACTGATATAGACCTTCGTTTCCTGACAAAGCTGTGATTTTTCTTCCGATCGAATACAAACGAGGTCTCTTGAGTACCTTGTTTTTTCTAAAATATAGCAGAATGGGTCGAACGCGAACGGATCAGATTGAGGGCCACACAAACAACCAGCCTAACTAGCCAGTCACACAGAGCACTGCATCATCATTTGCTTGCCATCTGCTGCAGACTGACCACCACGTCGACCGCGGGACATAGTTTCGGGTTGCAAACATAACCTTAAAAGGACGGCTGCTGAAATTTGTAGAGGTTATAGCAATCAAGCGTCGAAAGACATTTCTTTGTTAGCAAAAGGAGGTCTGCATCAGTCTGGTATTTCCGTGGTAATCATGTAAGCGGAAAAGTGGATTGATATCATGGTAAATTATCCACACCTAATATATATTTAAACTGTTGGGCTCCTATCTTTACTTCATCTTCAAGTGACAGTAACTGCTGTCAACTGTTCGTGAATCTGGGTCTGAATTTGTAGAAATACAACCCCATTCCATTTAACCTGCAATAACAACAGTTTCGGTTGTTACGTATTCCATGTAATTTTCATAGTCATTTTGATGGTTCCAGGGGTGCAGTATGGCCCATGGGCTATTTCTCTGAGCGCCAGCTTCGGCACTTGAATAAGCAAATAGAGCAAAGAGAGAGAACGTCAGAATTCCATAATGTTTCCCTTGTTAATGGGATACTCGAGACAGGGAACTGGCTGGAGTGACCGGTAGGAAATATAACATAATACATCTTACTGGGAGCTTTTGGGTACTCAAACAAAATACGTCGAAGAGGACATGCAGAGATGAGATGCCCTCTCTGTGACTATCGGTATTCTTTATAAGTTATTGATTTGCCGAAAAGCGTTCAACATTTCCAACGCGAGTGAAATGCACACCCATGGCAAGCTGAGAAATAATTCATCGCGAAAGATCTATATTGATGTGATAGACGATGCGTTGCAGTACATGATTTCATCTCGGTAAGAAACATGGTTGAGCTGATTATTCACCACATCGAAAATATAAGGGCATACATACTTTATTTAGGGTATCAAGTTTGGATTAGCTCATTCATTTGTTCAGAAGCACCAGACACCCTTGATTGTTTTCGGTGCGGAGTTTCAGTCCTTGGGTTTCCTCACTTGTTAAGTGCATTTAGGGATACTGAGAGTGCCCAGTGCTTTTGAACCATCTAGTGGGCTAAACCAAATTGATACTCCAAATTGAGTGAGCCATTCGCGTAAGATTGTGACCCTCAAATGTGCCGTACACGGGTAAAGGTTTGAAGTCCCGACTGGTGGTTCGAGTCCTTACAGGGATACAAAATTACACGCCGACGACGGTTCTCCAACGGGAAGTTCAGTGTTTTTTGTCGGGCATTGCAACTACTTTAATACAATCAAATGTATGCACCCTTTGTATACCGCGTGTACAATTAGCATTGAAGCTAATTTTGTTTATGAAACAATCAATGGTAATCAAAAATAATAATTTTCTCACTTTCCTTTACACACCCATGCTCACACAGACTTACACACAGACAAGTACATTTTCTGACTTCTGCCCAGCAAAAATGATCCTGCATTGAACCAATAGCAGCAACTGTTTAAGAGCGTTAATCAGAATCTAGGAAGACTTTAGTTCGCTTATTGACTTGTTTTCCAAATAGTAATCACTTGAATACATTGCACCGTTTTTTCCCTGTACATTCTGAATGATTTATACCTGAATCAAACTGATTAACGCTGAGTGAAGCATTATTTTATTTTTCCAAAACGAACTACTTGATGTGCATGTTTGATCAGTAATAAAACTGTTATCGACTTAACTATTATGCTCCTAATCTACTTCCAAAGGCCTTTAACTTGAGGTGCTTTCATCGAATTCCAATACCATTCGGGAATGTCAAATGAGGAATATCATTTTCTTGCATCCGAATGTTGCATGAGTTGATTGACCTGAAAATGTGGCGTTCCTAGGGATATTTTACGATGCTCCAACCACTTATTGTTTACCACATCATTCAGCAAATGGGTCGATGTGGGTCCACTTTTGGGATGGATTTTGTACGTTTCGTTTTTCTGATTTATCAAACAATGTGCTGCATTGATTGATAAATGTCATCATGCTATAAAATCATGCATCTGTTGGTACCGTAGATGCAAACAAAATAAATAATGCCAGTACAGACGTATTTTGTGTGTTCAGTAGGAGTGGAATCCAAGAGTTTGCCACGGACACTCATGTCCTGCAATATGGGTATTGATCAGAACTATGCCATTTCGGTCTGTAGCTTACATAGTCAACCATGTATTGAAAGGTGAACAACAATTCTAGGATGTTCATTAATATACTGTTATTGTTGGATCTCGTGAAACATCCTGCTAGTTTACAACTCAGGTAGATGATACGGCTCCGACTGATTCATATTTGTTTAATCTGCAGTAAATTCCCTAACTGCATGACATTACCGAAGAGAACAAACTTGTAGCGGCGTTCAGATGATTGATTGTTCATCTCATGTTATACCCACGTTCTACAGTCATTCCGTTCAATATACGCAACACATGCTAGCAATGGTTTAGCCCAAGTGTTATGTTAATTTAGGAGAGGTGTTCCAGTAGACATGATTATTGAAAGGGTGTCTGCTTTTAATATCATGAAAATGCTGTATTGGCAATGCTGTCGTAGCATGACTACTTTGGTCTAGTATTTCTGGTGACTC